CTCCGGGAGTGTGTGTGTCTGACCACGCCCCTCTCACTCCGGGAGTGTGTGTGTCTGACCACGCCCCTCTCACTCCGGGAGTGGGTGAGTCTGACCACGCCCCTATCACTCTGGGAGCGTGTGTGTCTGACCACGCCCCCGTCGCTGAGGGAGTGTGTGTGTCTGACCACGCCCCCGTCGCTGCGGGAGTGTGTGTGTCTGACCACGCCCCCGTCGCTGCGGGAGTGTGTGTGTCTGACCACGCCCCCGTCGCTCCGGGACTGTGTGTGTCTGACCGCGCCCCCGTCGCTCCGGGCCTGTGTGTGTCTGACCACGCCCCCGTCGCTCCGGGCCTGTGTGTGTCTGACCACGCCCCTGCCTGTGCCTCCCCAGCTCAGCGACCTGCAGGACAGGTACTCGGAGTGTGAAGACATGCTGCAGGAGGCGCGGGAGGACATCAAGAACCTGCGCAACAAGAGCCTGCCCAACAGCACCATCAACCGCTACAGCTCGCTGGCCGTGTTCCCCATGGACTCGCTGGCCGCCGAGATCGAGGGCACCATGCGCAAGGGCCTGGACAGCCCCGCCCCCCCCGAGTACAGGTGAGCCTGCCCCCCCACACCCGGCTCACAGCACGTGAACGAGACCCGCGTACCAGTGGAGCACTCCCTCCCAGAAGCGGAGCTTTTCTAGAATCAGACAGCGGATGTTCGGCGCCAGGGCGGGTGTGGGAGGGGCAGAGAGCCGGGGCTGACGCAGACTCTCGGGGTCGCCCCGCAGGAGCCACCCTCGCCGCGTCTTCGAGACGGTGAAGGCGGTGAACCAGGCGGCGCGGCTGCGCTCCCGCTGCCCGTCTCCGCAGATCCCGGGCTCCAGCCCGCCCTCCGCCCGCTCCAGCCAGGTCAGCACGCCGCGCACCAGCTACTACGGCTCCGACAGCGCCAGCGTCCAGATGGAGGAGCCGCCCGGCGCCAGCCCCGCGCTGCCCGACGACCCGCTGTGAGTGTCCCAGGGCGCGAGGGGC